CCCTGATAATGTGTCTGGGTCCCTATCACTCATGCGGGAAACATGAATGAAATCCCAGGTGCCTGGCTTGAGCTTGGCCCCAGCTCAGACTGCTGTGAAGATACCCAGGAAAGAACCCAGGCTTTGGTGGCAGAGACAGCTTGATCTAAGTCCTGGCTATTTTCTATGTTACCTGGACCTCACTTGAGTTTGAGGCATGTGATCTGTAAAATAAGAAAACAGATTTGAAGAAATGACAAAATGGGAAGAAATGGCAATAGGGCGTCTTGACTACCCCAAGAAGAGAGATTTAAGAATACTGGCATGTGAGCGTCCTCCTAAAATTGATCTGCCACAGACCCTACAGTGAAGATCAAAGTTGGAATTTATTACTATAGGCATATACAGGATATACAAGGGAAAGAAAACTTTAAAATACTGTCCATGTGTTTGTTTCCTCTCCAAACCTTAGTACCATATAACAGCCAGGTTGGGGCCAGGCCAAGTCAGGAGCCCAGAACTTCATCTGATTTTTACACATCGGTGGGAAGGATCCAGGATCTCGAGCCATCATGAAGATATACGATCAGGTGTCCCTTGCTGCAACCTAACCTTTAGTGCTACAATACCTGCCCCAATAGAATCTTTTTTGCTTTTTAAGATTTATTTTTATTGGAAAGGCAGAGTTACAGAAAAAAGTAGAGTCACAGAGAAAGATCTGTCCACTGGCTCACTCTCCAAGCAGCCACAACAGCTAGAACTGAGCCTCTGAAGCCAGGAGCCATGAGCTTCTTCCAGGTCGTCCACGTGGGTACAGAGTCCCAAGGCTTTGGGTCATCATCTACTGCTTTCATTAGGCCAAAAGCAGGGAGCAGGATGGGAGGTGGAGCAGCCACTTGGGAAGTGAACCAGCAGATCCTCATTTTCTTTCTCTTTCTTTGTGTGTTTCATACATTCCATAGCTCCAGGTTTCAGATAAACATTTTTTTAAAAAGTAAATAATAATAAATGACTCATCTACTAAGTGCTAAACAAACACATGTGCAAAGACTTCAAAATTAATTCATGGGCATATTATCTGAGAATTGGGCAAACACATTATGTTCCTCTTTGTTTTTGATAGAAGGCACTCAAAATCTTTCCTTCTTTGTTGAAAGCCATCTTTTTTGGCTATAAAATCAATTTGTAAAAAATGAGACTTTCTGTTTTCTCCTACTTAAGATAATATAATGTTCATTTTTAAGTATTCACATGGGGGCAGGTGTTGTGGTGAGTAAAGCCACTGCCTGCAGAATCAGCATCCCAAATTAGTGCTGGTTCATGTCCCGCTTGTTCCACTTCTGATCCAGATTCTGTTATGGGGTGTGGTCTGTGATAGCCAGCACCCTTTGACAGTGGGCAAACAAAATTTGGCTCTGTCAGCTACCCTTTGTCCTGAAGGTGGGTCCTAACAGTAATGGAATTTCATCCTCAACCACTCCCCCCACATCCTAATTTAGCCAGGATTTTAGATGCAGATAAATTCAATTAGTCTAGGTGTTTTTAGCTACAAGCCTAGTTCCTGTTCCTGCCCATCCAAAGGGGCACTAATCAACTCCTTAGCCCACAACACTGAGATATTTGCTTCTGCCCATCTGTGACTCACCTATCAACTGAGAGGGGATGGTATTGCATTGTTGTGTAACCACTCCCCTCACAAGCCCCTTGAAAAGGCCCATAAAGTGGGGGCTCTCCCTTTCTGGTCAGGTGCTTCCCTTACTCTAGTACCTTGACTCTTGGCTGACCCAGGACAGGTAATCCCGAGCATGCTCCCTGTATACTGTTTAGATTGGATAATGGATATAGTAATGTTGTTTTTAGTTTGTATATTATCAGGAGTTCCAGGAGAGGTGAGGCCTAGCAGTAGTGGAATGTGGGCAGAGAAGCCAGGGAAAGGTGAATGTCCACAGCTTTGTAAGAGTGTCCAGGTTATTCTTTGCATGTCTCTTAGGATAACTTATATTGTTGGGGAAGCTGGAACATAGGTCTTCAGCTTAATGGATGGACTTAAGGATAGTGACCATTTATTCCTCTTTGGATTATATTTGGTTGGATTATGATTGGCTGGACTGGCATATGGACTTGTGATTTGCTATTTCTAGTATACTCTGTTATCACCAAGCTTGGTTAATAAAGACTCCTTAACAAACCTTAGACATGTCTGGTGTGATCTCACTCGCACCCCGCAACAATTCCTACTAATGACCTTGGAAAAGCAGTAAAAGATGGCCCAAGTGCTTAGGCCCCTGCCATATATCTTGGCTTCAGCCTGGCCTAGCTCCATTGCACATCTCTGTCTCTCTATTTCTTTAACTCTTTCAATAAACAAGTAAGTCTTAAAAAAAAAAGTACTCATACAAAAAAAAATACATTGAAACATCTCTAATCTAAAAATTCAAAATGTGAAATCTTCTTTTGACCCAAGCATTTCAGCTAAGGAATACTGAAACTATACAGTCATCAGTTTTGATTTAATACTAGGATACAATCAAAATGTTGAGTATAAGCTGTACTAAAAACTGTTTAGTAAATACACAGGCATGCATACAGAAATCATACAAGGATGGGAGTCCAAGTCCGTAGTTTGTCCTTGTATGTTTGCAGCAACAGGTAATATTTATAAGATCCTTTAGGTGTAATACTTTTGGTCCGCCAATGCTTCTCTACATTCTAATTTATGTTCTAATCAGAAGTCCCAATGGGACAGATGCTAAGAAAAGATACTAGGAAATAATCAAAAAGGAAAATAAACATTTTGCAGTAAGGATAGTTCCTGCTCCAGTTTGGCTCCCTACAACAAGCCATTTTTCCCTTAAAGGTGCCAGAAAATGTCCTATCTCTTATTTTCAAGGAAATAGCTTATAGCTTCTGCACTGAGTTGATCGCTTTACGGGAGCCACTACAAGAACGAAAACAAAACAAACAAAACAAAAAAGCAAGCAAGCAAATAAGCATCCACTCTGGTTGTATCCTCAACTGCTGTTTCCTAATACCAATGTGTTTAGCAGCCAGTAAGAACAATACATTTGAGGATGGGGAAACTAAATATAAAAGAGAAAAACAGAAAAATCAAATGCTTGAGCTTTTGAGAAAATGGGAGATAATGACACACAATCCAAGGAAGCTGTCTGATCATAACATGCAGGAACTTGGCAACAGGTTAAAATGACTTTCATCTCCTGCACCCCTTTTCCTTTATTTCAGTTAATAACCCAATAAGTTTAAATAGAGCAGGACTGAGATGAAGTTAGAGGACACAAACCACAATCCAGTATATATGCACTTCAACGTAATCCCCAGCATAAATATTTTCATACATTCATTAGTACTGCCTTTTGTTTGACACTTCAAAATCTTTAAATATAAATTATAATTTTATCTGTTAAGATAAACATTTTAAAATGTAAACCTCAGAAAAATACACAACTATCACATTATCATCAGACATGGACATCGGCAAAATTTTGGTTAATAAGAAATTCAGGGTGAGGGGCAGACATTATTGACATCATGGCAGAGCAGGTTAAGTCACCACTTGCAAGGCTGGTATCCTGTATCAGAGCATCCATTTGTATTCCTATCACTCTATTTCTAATTCAGCTTCTTTCTGTATAAGTACCACGTGCTAACTGCTTGCATCACTGGAGTTCCATCCAGCTTCTTTCTAATGTGCCTAGAGAAAGAAGTGGAAGATGGCTTAAGTGCTTCATCTGAGTGGGAGACTCACATAAAATTTCCAGGCTCCTGGATTCAGCCTGGACCAGCTCCAGTCACTGAAGCCATTTGGGCAGTGAACAAATGGGCAGAAGATTGTTATCTGTCTGCCTCTCCCTTATTCTGTCAATCTGTCTCTCAAATAAAGTACACATTTTAGAAAAAAATTAATCTTAGAAAATGCTGTTTAGAAAATAAGGATACAGACTGAAAAAAAAATAACTTGGCTGAAATATCAGTCTCAGTGACAATTCAGAAGATACTTGAAAATTCTGTCTAGCGCCAATACTTTGACTCAAATGACCTGCAAAGTAAAAAATGGCCAAGAAGCACATTTTCTGCTTAAGAACTATTCACTTCCTACCTTACACATCAATTTTATTTCAAACATCAATAACTATTATGCAGTAAATGTTACCATGGCTGGGGAGAAATAACAATCCTTCAACTAGGATTTTGTTTGAACATTTAAATTTTTATTTGTTTTATTTGAAAGGCAGAGAGACAGAGACAGAAAGATTCCCCGTCTGTTGGTGCATTCCCCAAATGCCCTCAACTCCTGGAGCCAAAGCCAGGGTCCACAAACTCAATCCACATCATTCCACATGTGTGGCAGGGACCCAAGTACTTAAGCCATCACTTATAGCCTCCAAGTATGCACATTAGCAGGAAGCTGAATTCAAAAGTGAACTGGATTGAAATCCCACACGTGATGTGGAAGTCAGAGGCAGCATCTTGCCTGCTATGCCAAATGCCTTTCCTAGGCACGCTGTATAATGAAAATTAATTCCAAATTACCTGAAATAGAGGTAATCCAAAAAATACAAAGCATAGTACAATGAAATAAAAAACGGCTTGTTCTACTACTCTATAATTAAATTTCATGTATCCAAAACCCAGATCACTAATGCATTTTTGTTTTTCTGGTTGCTTTTTGTTTATTTGTTTTGCTCGAAAGGCAGGGTGACAGAGAAAGGAGACAGAGAAGTCCATCTGTTGGTTCACTTCCCAAATAATTATAATTGCTGGGGCTGGTCAGGCCACAGCCAGAAGTATAAATTCCACGTGGGTGACAGGAACCCAAGTAACTTGGGCCTTGCCTGATGTCTCTGGGATACATTAGCAGGAAGCTGGAATGGAAATAATCAGGACTCGATCAAGCACTGCAACATGAGATATGGGTGTCCCAAGTGCTGGCTTAGCCCCATGTACCACAGTGTCTATCCAAGTGTTCAGTGACATAACCATACATATTAAAACTGCATTACCTTCATAATGTTTACTAAATCTGTTTGATAGTAGCGATCCTGATGTGCATTAGCTGCGGCGAGTGTAAGAAGATAATCATTCCTTGCATGTGTAGCCTTAGAGTTACACTCAGAACGCCGGGCTTTCAACTGAAACACAGTAACGGGGAAAATAAAGCGTAAACTGATGATGCACAAAACACAGACGATATTAATTTTGGTAATGAAGGGCTTTCCACCCGGAGCAACGGCAACCAGGTGGAAAAAATGCTTTTATGTCTACAAAAATTACTCATCACAATTAAGGAATTAAACAGTGAATAAGACACATGGTAAGAGCTAATTTTTCAAATATTTGCTATTTACATTTAATATATCAAAATTTTTGTAAAAAACTTGCAAATATCTTACTCGTTTTTTTTTCAGGTAGGAATATAAATTTTTAAAAACTAAAACCCATCTCAAATATATCAGAAAAATCTAGTGGTTTGAGATAAGTTTTTAAAATGCCAACACTCCTGATATGTGAGAGAACCGAATACATGGTGGGGAGTTTGACAGCCAAAGCCAGATCACTGAGCTCACTTATCCTACACAGCCAGAAGGTACCACACTAAAAACTTACCTATATCTGGCACAGAACAGTCACTCTTAATGAAATGGATTTTGTAGAGCTTATCAAAGCTCTACAAGTGTCTTAGAGTAAAAGTTAGACTATAAGCTATCTAAGCAATTAAGATAGAAAACTCATCCTTAAAAGGAAGTCTTGATAAACAAGCTATGTCCAAAGTATTGTAACCTGGGTGAAAAACTCTCAATAACTGGGAGGGGTAACTGGGAGGGGTAACTGGCAAAGGTATCCCTCCCTTATTTAATACCTTCAAAAGGCTTCTCCAATGTAGAAATAATGAATTCCCACTATCCAAAGATCCAACTATTTATTTTATAACCTAAGAGGTTTCTCAACTGCAAAATATATCTTTCAAAAACTCACCTTTACACTTGCCTTCTGTAAACTGATTCTTGACTGAAAAAGGCTAAGTTTAGATCTGTAATAAAACAGAAAAGTATGTTTAATAAAAAATAATGTAAGATTGAATGATATTACTATGTGCTAATTTTAAAAGCTTTCTCTCAAAATGCTGTTCGGAAAAAGAATAAAAAATTGGAAAACTGATTAAAACAAGTTATTCAACCGTAAGAGATTTTTATTATGACACAATTTCATACACTTCATCTGCCCCAAGGAAGCATCCAATCATTGGAGACAAAGGTAGGTTTTGGGGGCTGTGTGTAACCGCCCATAGCATACCAGAAAATTGCAAGTCACTAGAAATTCCTAACTTCCATTGCTTTCCAGCATTAAAAGTTCTTCTATGGATGCCTGTCTCTGTGTCCCTTTTATTCCTAAGGATAATTTTGATCTCTTTATTCTCCCACTCAGATGTTAACTCCTTGATTCCCCTCTGCTTCAGAAGATATCCACAATCTAACAACCAACTGTAAAACCTCCAATGTTGGTTTTATCCAGAGATAGTCGAGAAAGTCAACAGACAAATGCCAAGAAACAAGCACCACTCCCAGGAGCACCAAGTTTTCTAAAGCTGCAATGTTTGTCTTGACTAAGTGTCATGGTGATTGCTATGAGAAAAAGTAATGCATGTGCTGGCAGCTACATAGCATTATATGAAGTACAGTTGCAGACCACTTAGAATTAAAGCAGTCAATCTCTGCAAAGCTAATGTGAACAGGATAGGCAAAAGCAGAATTTTCTCTAACTAAAGGAAAAACATTCAGGGATGAACACTTGTTGATAAAATATATATAATAATATATGTGATTATATGTATAAGATAGATAGATAGATAGATAGATAGATAGATAGATAGATAGATAGATAGATAGAGCTGGCACGGTGGCTCAGCACACTAATCTTTCACTTAAAGTCCAGCATGTAGGCATTATTTCGTATCCCAGTTGCTCCACTTCCCATCCATCTCCCTGCTTGTGGCCTGGGAAAGCAGTTGAGGACAGCCCATGCCGTGGGACCCTGCACCTGTGTGGAAAACCCAAAGGACGCTCCTGGCTTTGGACTGGCTCAGCTCCAGCTGTGAGGCCATTTGGAGAGTGAAGCAGTGGATGGAAGATCTTTCCTTCTGTCTTTCCCTTCTCTCTGCAAATATTCCTTTCTAATAAAAATTTTAAAATTAATCGCAAAAAACAAAAACAGGGCTGCATTGCAACAAGGCAGGTAAAAATGACATCTGCTATGCCAGCAATTCATACGGGTGATGGCTTGTGTTCTGATCCAGCTCCTTGCTAACAGCCTGGGAAAAGCAGCAGACAGTCCAAATGCTTGGGTCCCCGCCATTCTTGTGGAAATGCAGAAGGTTTTGGCCTATGTCAGTCCTGGCCAGTGTGGTAACCTGGGAGTGAACCAGCAGAAACATGCTCTCTCTTTCCTTCAAATAAATAAATAAACCTTTTTTTTAAAAATAGTTGTAACATATTTTCTATCTTGTCATATTCTTACTTCATGGAGCTTTTCTTTTTATTAATCAGATTCTTATTTATCTTGATCTAGAAAGGGTCACAAAGGTAAAAGGTAAAGCTTTCACAGATTAACAAAGATATTTGAAGTTTCCCTAGTTCTCCTTTTTCTGTAGTAATGATTCAGATATGCCAAGTTGCACCCAGATCTTCCAATATAAAATTTCATTTTTCTGCCTCTTGCTTCACTTGTTAATTCTCATATATTTCTAGTATGGAATTAGGTAGATGACAGACAGTGATGGAAATCACTCTTAAGATATTAATGATAAAGATGGTACCTCCAAAGATTAAAATTTAGAAAAAAAAGATTTTTTTTACAAGTAATATACTACAAATAAGAAATTACATTATGCACTACTCTTTATCATCCATCCTTCACAATTTATTGTTCTTCAGAGTACAGCAGGATACTGTTCTACCCAGCTGTATCCCCTCTGAATCAGGGCCACATGAAAAGGTCGTAGTCACCTCTGTGCATCAGACCACCAAATCCATAATACTCAGGAATAATCACTGTCCTCATTTTCAACCCGTGGGCCATGGCTAAATGAGGTATTTACAAATAACCTACAAATGTGTCAAATCCTGTGTTGCAGACTCTGAGAGTCTGAAAACAAGTTTCTAAAAACCCCCTAACAGGATGTTTCTGATAGAGATCACCTATTTCAAAAATCGCAGATTTTACTGGAAAGATGGGCTCACTGACTCTTTGAAAGTACAGGAAATATTTGTGTGCAAAAAACAAAAACCCAATAAACACAACAAATTAACTTAGGAAAATATTAAATATGTTTTCCTATAATATCATTTGGTGAGCACTCATTTACCAACCATCACTACTCAATAAACTTTTCAGAAATCCTTCAATTTTCTCAAGATGTTTTTGAGATTGCCTAAATTTTCTGCAGAAAAACAATCATTAGAAAGATATCCCTCCCTCTTTGCTGATCTGTTTGTACCAGCGTTTAAAGTCTTCCTGACTTCATGAGTAGAGGTTTAGACATCTAGATGTTTTAATCAGTCAGCTAATTGCGCCAGCATCTCCATGCTTCTTCTCTTAGATCTTTCAAAGTCCAATTCTGTGACACAGGCTTATGGTTGATGAGATTCAAATTTTAACAAACTTTTACCTTTTAATAACTTTTAATAAAACCTTCTCAAGATATCATTGCAAAAATCTCTCTCCTTTTATTACCAATTGCCAGCTTTTTTATTTTTAAAATAAAGAACTATTATTTATATATCTTGAAAGTAGAATTTACACATTTTCTAGAGCACATCTAAGATCACATTTACTTGAATTTCAGGTAAAGTAAACCCAGTGCCGGGGCCCATTCCCACAGGGCGGCCAGGGGTTCTGCTTAGTCCACATGCCTGCAGGCCTTCAACAGCACCCTGAGGACCAAGTGATTTTCTGGGACTTCACTTGACTTGGAATCTAGCATGAAAAAATGAAACTCGAAAATCCTGTTCTTCAGATGTCCAGGCAACTTTAACTATACTTCTGATAAGCTTTCAAATCTGTAAATGCAATGTTGCCTTCTTTCATTTTCAAAATCTAATTATGGATATTTCTATCTCCTTACCTAATCTAATAAAAAATCAACCAGTCTAAAAAAATGTGATCTAATGTATAAAACATGTTAGTCAAATGAAATCAACAGTCTAAGAAAGAACCTATGCCCTATATTGATGGAGAACAAAGTATGAGTAAAGACAACATTTATTTGCATAATTATTTTGTTAGAAATGCTAAAACACATACTTTGCCTCAATGTCAGCTTTCTCCCGTACTGCATGAGCCATCTGTTCAGTCTCAAAGTACTTCTTTTTACCTTTAGCTAGATCTTTCACTGTCTCTTGTAATTCAGTTTGGATCTTTGTCAACTGGTCCACACACTGTAAAACACAAAAAGTACAATTATTATGATTTCAGTGTTCAAGCTTACAGAAAATAGGTTTGTCCTACAGAGTATGCATTAAGCCTTCAGGATGCAAACCAAGGCACTGAAAGTGTCCTTCCAACTGCAACCGAGGATTCAGTGAACTTCCATCGCAAGTACTATATCAAAGTCCGTCCTAACAACTATCCTTTGAGAAGTAGCTCAAGCACTGCTGATGTCTGGTATTAGTTAGCGTAAGAAAAGCATCTATGAAATATTTTTAAGGTTAGAGGTAACAAGGCAAGAAAGGGAAAAGAATAAACTATGTATTTCTTTCTAATTTTGATAAATGCCTCTGTATACTTGGATAACTGGTGGTATCAAGAATACTAACAAATTCATCCCTAGGGAACAAAGTGAAATCCAATTTGATAACTTCAAGGTAAAGGACAAAGTCTAGGTATCACATAACAATTGTCATCCAAAGTTATCCCTAGTTCAGCTCCTTGAATACACTCTAAGACAAGGACTGCCACATACATTCTAGTAGAAGGGAGATCTAATATTTCAAAGAAATGTTTCATCAACAATGAGAAAAATAGCACTACTTGGGCATCCTACTGGAAAACTTGATAACAACATGAACATAGGGATTTTTAAAAGAGAAAATTGGAACTAATACACAAAAGTTCTACTAACAATTAGGTTCTGACCCGGTAACCATTTCCTGGAAATTTATCCTAAGAACTGCATGGAGAAATCCTCTTCCCTAGTTTGAAACAAACCACTGAGAAGCTTCATTAGCTTGAGGCTTCAGTTGAAAAATCTGAGTCAAGAGCACTGCCAGCACTCGGTGCAGTCAACAAAGGCTTGGCAAAGCAGGACTAGACACTGCTGAGGTGACTACCAACCAGGGCTGAACAGGTGGAGTTACATATGGATAGAACAAGGACACTAGAAAAGCAAAGGCAGAGCCAGTATATAAACTTACTAAACTTAAAACAGAAAGACTAGAGCTTTCCACAAATTGTTAGACAATTCTACAAGGTTCTGTATGAATAGACAAAAGAAGCAAACTAACACATCAAATTTATTGAGCACTTGATTTGAGAGGTAGAGTAAGACAGAATCCCAACATACCGGCTTGCTCTCCAAATTTAGGAGCCAAAGAACTCAACCTGAGCCACCACCACTGCCTCCCAGGAGGCACATTAGTAAGAAGTAGGACAGGAAACAGGACTTGAATCCAAGCACTCTAATTACAGAATGCAGGCACCCCAACCAGCATTTTTTATTATCATGAACCAAGCAGGTGGGGAACTAGATACTGGTCAAGGGGTACACACTCAGAGCTTCAAAATAAAACACTTCTGGAGAGCTAATGTACAGCCTGGTAAGTATGGTTAATGATATTGTATCATTACTTGAAATTGGCTAAGAGTTCTGAAGTATTCTCATCACCAAAATAAAAAAGTATATAAGGTGATGCTTATCTTAAGTAGCTTGACTTTATGATCCCTAGGAACAGCAGTGTCATACAGCGAGTCAAGATGTCACCCATGTTGATGGTATCATGTGTTTGCCAGTTTGAGTTCCAGCTGCTCTGTTTCAGATCAAACCACACATGTGGAAGACCCAGACAGAGTTCAGCCTTGTGGGGAGTGAACCACAGGATGGAATATCTCTTTATCTTGTACTCCTGCTCTCTTTCTGTTTCTCCCTCTCTTTCCATAACTCTGGCTTTCAATAAGATTTATATAAAATATATAAGTCTTAGAAAAAATAGTCCATGAATAGGAGATATTAAGAGAGGAAAACTTGCTAATAACCATGAACATAGGGATTTTTAAAAAAGAAAACTTGAGCTAATATACAAAAGTTCTACTAACAATTAGGTTCTGACTCGGTAATCATGTTCTGGAAATTTATCCTAAAAAGTAAATAGCTGCATTTTCCTGAAGACTTAGTGATAAAACCTAAAAATAGTTATGTCTAAATAAAGTCAGAATAAATAAAATTTCACTCAGTAATAAAAACAATAAAGGTTGTATAGACACCTAATTAATTAGGAAAGAGAGCCTGAGGTAGAGAATATTCTAAAACATTAATTACATTTACTGTAAATTCTAACAACAGTAGTCTGTTACATACAAAGAGCTATATATTTCTCTGAAAACCTATTTCAATATTAAACTTCAAGAGTGTAGGGGCTGGGCACCTCGGTATATCAGCTAAGCCTTCATGTATTGTGCCAGCATCCCATATAGATGCTAGCTTGAGTTCTGGCGACTCCACTTCCAATCCAAATTCCTGCTAATGATCTGTAAATCTACTGAGGAGATCCCAAGGCCTTGAGTGCCTGCATCCATGTGGGAGATCTGCAAGAGGATCAGGATCCTGGCTCCTAGCTTCAGACCAGCACAGTTCCAGCCACTGGAACCATTTGGGGAGTGAACCAGTGGATGGGGGATCTTTCTTTCTCTCTGTCTTTCCTCTCTGTAAGTCTAATCTGCCTTCCAATAAAAATAAAAAAAATCTTAAACAAACAAAAAACAAAAAGATCTTTCAAGAGTTTAAAGCAAGACTGCAAAGGAATCAGAATAAAAAATATGTTCAGGTTTGTGTTTTGAGGATATGGAATTAGAAAATTACATATTAAAATTCCTGTTATGGAAGGTAAAAATACTTCTGTATCTTTGATTGTTTTAATGAAAATCAAAGGAGAATACAGAGAATGTGGTAGGGAGCTGTTACTGTGGCATAGTGGGTAAAGCCATCTCCTATGTTACCAGATTCAGCCTGGTCAGACTTGGCTATTGTGGATCTCCGCGGAGTGAACCAGATGGAAGAGTTCCCTCTCTGCTTTACTCTAACTTTCAAAATACAGAAAAATCTTTAAAAAAATAAAAAAGAGGGGGGCAGTTTGCAAACTGACAAGTGTTATGTATAGGTGAAGCACAATTATTTCAAGGAAACCAAGTGAACTCTAGTATAAGTAAATGGGAATGAAATGGATGAAAGCTAAGTAAACACAAGAATGGCAAAAAAAAAAAAACCTTTTAACATCTGTGGCTCTTATTCTGATTCATAAACAACTGTTAATATAAAAAATGATTTGGAAATGATTTAATATAATTCTTATTATAGTCACCCATTTTGATTCTCCTTATATTCACAGGTCCTTCATAATGTAATATGTCTACAGTTATGCTTAAGTATCATAAAAGAAAATAGACAAGGTTTTGAAAGGTTGTGTACTTTTAAATGTTAGACAGTGACAATTTGGGCCTAGTGCAGTAGCCCAGTGGCTAAAGTCCTCGCCTTGTACATGCCAGGATCCCATACCAGCACTGGTTCATGTCCTGGAGGCTCCACTTCCCATCCATCTCTCTGCTTGTTGCCTGGGAAAGCAGTCAAGGACTGCCCAAAGCCTTGGGACCATGCACCTGCATGGGAGACTCAGGGGAGGCTCCTGGCTTTTGGTTTTGTTTCGGCTCAGCTCTAGCCACTGCAGCCATTTTGGGAGTGAATCAGTGGATAGACTATCTTCCTCTCGGTCTCTCCTCCTCTCTGTTTATCTGACTCTCCAGTAAAATAAATAAACATTAAAAAAAAAAGTTAGAGAGTGAGAATTTAAGTCAAAAATTGTCCTAATCATGACAGAACAATTTGGACCAGGGTTCAGTCAGTACTTCTATATTATAACTTAGACTTGGTTCTGTCAAACTATTTCCCTGTAATCCAAAAATTGTAAAATTGGACTAGAGTGCATAATGGATTTAAGGGACTATGAGATCTGGGAGAATACAAACATAAATATGTTATGTTCTACATTCAATTTTTTCCCTCCAGGCATTTGTTGAATCATGAAGATAGAGACCGGAGGCAGGCGGGAGGGGAAGGTACAGTAGTTCCAGAGAGTCCAAAGAACAGCAACCTGAACAGCAAGGATCTGGAAAGTAGGGTACTGCAGAGAAGCAAATCCAAAAATCTGTAAGCAATGTTCCCTAGAGTCATTAGTTGCTTTCTACAAGGAATGTGTGAGGTAAAGTTTCTAGAAATTCAGTGGAGAACATTAGCTGAGAGATTAACAACCAAGTGGGGATCAGAGGATTAAAGAAGCTACTTGATGTAGAAAAGACCAAAGTAGGAGTTCAAGCCTTGTCAGAGCAGAAAGGCCTGTGTGTTAACTGAAGGAGATGAGCGCACAGCAGCTCGGCCAGTAGTCTTTCCAAGCACAAACCAGAAATACTTTTGGGCCCAACACTTGCAGTTGTTTTTCTGGTGTACAAGACTAACATATAGGAAACCAGTGCCAGAAATGTTTTGCTTCTCTGAAGAAGCTTATAATAATATACAGCATACATATATGTAGAGAACATTTGGTCAAAAGAGGTTTTTTGTTTTTCCAGTAAGAAAGATTGGCTTGTAACCATCCTTTTTTTCTTATGTTATTTAAAACTGGTATAGTATTGTATGTATGAAGTACCCATGATTATACCAGTAATTTGAGCATAATTTTAGGAGTTTTCATCTTTTCAAGTAATGCTTTGTTTCTATTTTTAAGCTTAATTTTAATTTTTTGCAAAATCAGTAAGATACTTTGAGGAAAATTGCAGTGAAAGGTGGCAAATATTCCTTTTAGGAAGAACTGATTTCTAACTTTTTTAGTTTATGTTATTCTATCCAGCTTTAGCATCAATATTTTTTGTTTTTTGAAAATCAGATAAACAGAAAGGAGAGAGACAGAGAGCTTTGGGCCATCCTTGACTGTTTTCTCAGGTCACAAGCAGGGAGCTGGATGGGAAGTGGGTCACTTAGAACTGGTGCCCATATGGGATTCTGGTGTGCAAGGTGAGGACTTTAGCCACTAGGCTACTGTGCTAGGCCCAGCATCAATACTTTTTTTTAAACTCAAAATTTCCCTATAGTTGTTGGAATTATATAACTTCACATATTTTACTTTTTAAATCGCTTTTAAATTTTAATCTTTACATATTTTAATGTTTCAAACCAAAGCCCTACTTTAAAAATTCATGTCACAGCAGTTACACTATTCTCAAACATAATTTTTCCCCAATAAAGAAGTAAAACTTTCATTTACCATAATTCTTGAATGATGAATGGCTAGCTGAAAGATCACATGCTAATGAAACTGACCAGTATTATCTAAGAACAAGTCCTTCTCCCACAATATCCTCCTTCTGCCTTTATAAATCTTGAAATGTGTTCAGTAATTAAAATTAATGTTTGCTAACACTTCATTCTACTGTGGACTTTTACAAGTGATCTATGGGATGTGCATGTATATAACTGTTGCTATGACATCTTCAATGCATCAGTAAACTAACAGTGACTAAATGTACTTTGCAAAAAATAGTTGGAAATTGTATTAAAAATAACAGCAATCGTGCCTTAGATTTTATTAAACATTTTTCACACAGCACTATATAACAAGTTTAATATTTTTCTAACGCTTTTACTAAGACTGCTGACTATGGAAAAACAACAAATAATGTCTTTTGTGCTATTATTAACACTTATAATCTGTATCTTTTAATTCAGAAAGTGAGTTCACCTATTCTTTGGTAAACAAATCTTTAACAGGGTCACTTAGCTAACTGGGCTGCTTAACTGGTATGCTGGGAGAAAATAACATTTAGTGTTTGTACCAAATACTTAAAGTATTTTGACAAATTGTTTTTTTTTTTTAAAGATTTATTTTTATTATTTTTTTATTGGAAAGGTGGATAGACAGAGAGGAGAGACAGAGAGGAAGATCTTCTGTCCGATGATTCACTCCCTAAGTGAGCGCAACGGGCCGATACTAGGCCGATCCGAAGCCAGGAGCCTCTTCCGGGTCTCCCACACGGGTGCAGGGTCCCAAAGCTTTGGGCTGTCCTCGACTGCTTTCCCAGGCCACTGGCAGGGAGCTGGAAGGGAAGCGGGGCTGCCGGGATTAGAACCGGCGCCCATATGGGATCCCGGGCATGCAAAGCAAGGGCCTTTAACCACTTGCGCCACCGCGCCGGGCCCAACAAATTGTTTTTTAAGATGTAGTTACTAAAACCTCACCACAGCTGGAGCTGTTTTGTACAAATTACACAAGGCTTGCCTAATCTGTCAATATCAGAGTCATACAGTTGAGTGGGGGACGCTCAGAGTAGCAGAGGTTGATATGCTTTCTCTTCTGAGGGCTTTGATCGAACTGTTGTGAAATTCAAAGGTGCAGTTCTGCAGCTTCCAGCGCAAAGAAAAAAGTAGAGTGAAGCAGAATCAGTCTTGATACTATCAGGGCCGCAGCACACATGAGAATGAATGAAATCAGCTGCACAGAGGAAAAGCATCACTGAAATGCCATGCTGCTTGTGCTTATGTTTCTGTATTTAAAGAAAAGGTACAGCCAATTTCATACTAACTCAAGTTCTCATTTTGGTATTGTGCTCACATCCACACCATATTTAACGGTGATCTGACTTATCAGAGGAGTTGATATGAGGTGTGTGTGTGTGTGTGTTTTAATTAGCAATTTCTTTCAAAGGCAAAGTTGGAGAAGGGGGGGGGGGGAGAAGAGAATGAGAGAAAGAGAGAGAGAGATTTTTCACTCACTAGTTCACTCCTCAAATACAACAGCCAGGATTGGGCTAAAGCAAAGCCCAGAGCTACAGCCAGATCTCCCACATAGTTCCAGAGGTTCAAATGTTTGGGCCATCTTCTGCTGCTTTCCTAGGCACATTGGCAAGGAGGTGGATTGGAAGTGGAGTAGCAGGGACTCGAACTGGTGCCCACTAGGGATGCCAGTGTCACAGACTTTACACAGTATTCCACAACACTCACCTAGGGTGGATGGTTCTGAATTCACCTTTTACTTTTAGTGAAACTGGGTCTAATTAAATGTTTTGAAGCTTATCAGAAACTCAGTATGCTTTTAAAATGTGTAGGGTTAGGGTTGGGAAAAACAATATAGGTATAGTGAGGAAGGAGACCCACACAGAAAGCATTGTGAAGTGGCTTGCTGGTTGACCACGATTAGAGTGAGGACAGGTTTTAGCTGTAAATGACTGACTACTCTGTGTGTATTGTGTGTTGGGATAATTGTGTCATACTTCATATATTAGAATAAAATTTTTTAATGATGATAACTAAAAGCAAATGTTCTACATTAAATCCTGCTTCTAAATCACACTGCTTCTGTTTTGGGACAGGAGGCTGTGGGAAAACCCTGTCAGTACAGGGTTTTTCTCTTCCTTGATGGCAGAGAAAAAAAAATTAATTTTTTTCATACTCTTTACTTTCCATAAAGTTAATTTTCATTCAAGATTATTTCAGGAGGTAAGGGCTAGGAGCTAGAAGGCTAAGTTGCTCGGGTTCTGGTTCTTCATTGAACTGAAGTATATGACATTGGACAAGTCATTTAACCTCTCTCTGCTTTAGTATCCCTCTCCTATAAAACAGAAGTTATACCTACCCCACAGCACTGTTTCGGGGATTCATTAGCGATAGTATCTGTAAAGCACTTAAGGTTCTCAAAGATGTTACTATATAAATACAAAAAAAGCATCTATTAAAATTGTTCTACTTTTGGGGGGAGGGGAGCAGAAGGCAAGCACAGCACACTTTCAGTTAAGACGTTAGCAATAGGTGAAACAGACACAGACCTTACAGAATAAAGGCGATTGAACAGCATGACACCTGTGTGCCAGAAAAAAACCTCAGAGTCTCTGAAATAATACCTTTTGGAGCCCCTAAAATTTTTTTTAATAAACAATGTTCAGCATTGTAAAGCACAAAGTTGAGCCAAATAGCAGATACTAAAATTATGAAACAGATTAGGAAGTAACATATTTAAGGTATAAAGAAAAACAGCTGTATCTAGAAACAGAATGTATTTTCAAAAGTCAGATTTTGAAAGTCTCCCTTTCGGTAAATTATACTTCCAAACAAATAAATGAAAATAAAAAAAAAAAGGAAAAGACAAGAGAGAGAGAGAAAGAGATTAAGGAAGAAAAATTCTACTAACATCACTTGAACCCCTGGATCCATCCATGCCTAAAACCCTAGAATCTTCATTTAAATAAATGAATATATTTTCTTCTTAAGCCAATTTAAAGTGAGTTTGTCATTTGTAATTATAGCTTCCTGACAGGTATATTAAATACGTACTTAAAACTCAACAATTGGTTATATGGCACATAAACATCATTATTTTCAGCTATAATAAAAAACATTAATTCACTGATATGAGGATTTATCAAATGTCACCAAACATTCTTTGCTGGAATGTTGGGTAAAGTTCAGGTCTGTGACTGTTTCTGTAATGGAAAAAAAGGCACTAGAGGTTTTGTTTTTTTTTTTTTCAAAATATTCTGATATTGAGGAAAATATCACACACAATAATTCACTCAAATTTAACGATTTATATTGGCCATTTAAAACACAGTATTTCCTCCTGATTAGAAAGCTATACCAATATACCAATATTAAACCCCTGGTTCTACTTTTCTACCCTCTTTCTGCATAATCAGAAATCAAGAGACACACCTGTATATTTTTTTTTGTATTTTTAAGTCATTGGTCAATTCTCACATAGTTTACTATGTTTTTCTTGAAAGTACTATTTTTTTTTTTTGGCAAAGTAAAACAGTCATTTTTAAAATGAAAACAGCCATCCTTATACAAATGTGCTGAAGTCAACCAATATTAAGTGAGTGCTTGCAGGTTATAACTTTAGCACATACATACATACATTTAACATTTAACATGAAATCATCTTTTGCAAACAGAAAAGATATGATTAGTTTTGGTCTTTGTAAAAACAGTCCTGAAAGATTTCTGAAATACTAATTTTTTAAATAATCACTTCTAATCTTCCAAAGTGTTACTAATTTCATACGAAAACTTTACTACTAAACATCACAAATCTCTATTCTAAAACTCCATTTCCAAAACAGATAAATTCAACTACTTTCAACAGCTAAATTTTCACAAAAATCACACTAAACAATGACATTTAGCTATGAATACTCAAGCTCTGTATAATCAAAGAAATATGTCCATTTGAAAGTGTTTATTTGCATACAGCCTGTTAATTAAAATTTTAAGTGTACCAGATATTTAAAAATAATTCTATTGGTACATATAATTAAAAATGTGACTACTTGCTTTACATTAAGGCTCAACTTGAAACTAAGAATAATTGACAAATAATTTTCAAGACTTGGGATTAATATTTTTTAATATCCCAATACTGTATTTAATTAATATATTTTAATGAACTGTACCAATATTGTGAAACTACATAGGTCCATTGAGTAACACTAAAAAGCAATATCCTGAAGAAATATTTATTGCACTTTCTAAATGTTCATAGATTCAAATTGTGTTCATCTTAGTGGTTAAAGGGAACATGTCAATGTCAGAAAATCCTCAGAAAATACAAAGCATAAATATGTATGACCATATAGGAAAGCTGAAAGATTTTAAAGCAATTTGGTATCATACAAGTTATAAATGTGGCACTGAAGTATTAAAATACACATAGAAAAAGAACAGAAACAGAAACAATACCCTTTTTAGTTGCTGTTCTTTTAAGCTTCTCACTGTTCTTGCAGGCTCAGAAATGAAGTTTTTATAGTTCTCACATATATTGATCCGAGACTGGGCTACCTGCATTGTTCCCTCGAGAAAAGATTTCCAAACAGGATACATGCTCCTAAATTCAAAGAGGGATAGAAAATTATTAGGCAAGGAAAAGGAAGAAAAAGCTGGCTAACCTTTTGGTCACTGAACAGCACTGAAAAGAATGATAGTCTTCTGACTATATATGTAATTATATTGGTTTATAGACAGAATTACAGCATACAAAACATAGTGGGTGGCATATATTCTATTCCTTTGTAGTTTAGCAGCAGGGAGTTTTGATTCCTTAGCTTCTTAATCATAAAAGGATACATGTATCAGAATTTGAGACAAGGCTAACATGACAAAAATTAGCAAATGCAGATTCTCCAGGCCTTTCATCATTACAGGACTATCATTGCAAATACCAACTTTCATTATTTCACACAGGTAATTCTGTAATTTTATAGCTGAGGTAACTGAGGTTCAGAGATATAGAAATTCAGTAGGTTATATTGAATATTTCAGCATTGATATTCAGTGAAGGTTGGGGACCACTCTCTTTCAATTACATACTGCTCTCTCAAAAAAATAATGTCAGAAAAAATCATATATGAACAATTGCTCACGTGCTTGAGAAGTCTTGTGAAAACAGGGAATTGATGGCACTATTGTTCTACATCAGTCCCTGTTGTAACAATGCTTAGCCAGTATCACACTGTGCCTTGGAGTCATTGCAGGTAAGACCCATCACCCATCACTTGCTGATACAAGTGCTTCACAATTACTTACCCTTTGTTTGCTTTAGCCAACATCCTTCTCAAATCTTTCCCACACTGTTAAATGTTTCAACCAATTCTAGCACATTCCTACACTATTATAAGACTAACAAATTTGTAACAGTCAGTACTTAATGAAAATAGAATAGAAAGTTTTGATAAGTTACAGTATCAGATTCGCCGCTGATACTAACATGGATTCTTACTATTGCAATGTAAAAAAAAACTACCTGCTACATAAAAGTACTTGTGCAACAAGAAATGACAACTAAAAACAAGAAAAAGAAAAATCCCCTGGTTCCTCCTGATCCTTAGAGCTTAACAACTTGATACATTTTTAAACCAAGGTGCCATGAAATATACCAAATCAACTTAGATATAAACACTGAGACAAATATGTGATACTATCACTTTGGAAATATTCAATGTGCTATGTTTACACAAACTGTCAAAACAACAACAAACTAATGGGATGAAAAAATAGCAGCACTGAGATGTCACTCCTAGCCTCAATGTGGGACAATCAAGGGGACTTATAAAACATTTGGATCATCACTCACTGCTTTCCTAGGCACATTAGCAAGGAGTTAGAACATAAGTGGAATTATTGGGACTCAAAATGGCACTCACAGTGATGCTGGCACCACAGACAGCTTAACTTGCTGTTCCACAATGCCAGACCCTATGAATAAATGTAATTGTTTAGTTAATGCCTGTACTGCTGTGAACACAAAGACTAAAGTGAATAAGGATCCTTCACAAAGTATCGCACTATCTTTTATTTCTATTTTCCACAAATACTTTCAACCATCCTTCTATGTCTTGTTGACTGTTGTATTCTGCTGTGGTTTGGATGTGGTTTGTCCCCCACAGATCAGCATGTTGGAGACTTGGTCTTCAATGTAACAGTTTAGACACAGTATGAACCTTTAAAAGGTGGGGCTTTTAACTGCAGGTACCAGGCTCAGAAGGAAATAGGTACAAGTCCTAGAAAGAAGTTGTTATAAAAACCTAACCTGCACCTTGCAGTTTCGGTCTCTGGTTCCTATTTTGAAATAGAATTTTTTCCTTTCAGGCTCCTGGTTATACCATGAGGTCCTCATTAGATCCAATACCATGCTGTTTGTACTTTTTCCTCCAAAACTGTGAACTGTAAGCCTTTTCCCTTGATAAAGTCAGACATTTCATGTCTGTTGAGTAATTCATGCTCCTAGGATCTAACAAAAATATGCACTGGGTAAATGTATAAATTTTGACTTGATTAAAAAAGAGAAATCTTTTTCACTATGGAATTTAAAAACAGAACTTCAAAAAGTAGCAGGTTAACATATCCTGAACACTAAGGTATCAATAAAAGCACAGACTACTTACCAGTAAGAAGACTTGTGTTCAAGTTTAACCAATATGTTCACATGTAGCACACATAACTATACTTTCATTTCCTCAACAAGCAAATGAGGAAGTAACAGAAATAGCTACACCATGTATCTTACAGGGATATTTAAAAAATTATATGCAAATAATGTAAAAATTTTTGGCATACACATTCTTCTAAATGAATAAATAGCAACAGTAGCAGAATTAAGACTTCTTACTAATAGTGCTAATTCCAGCGAAGGGTATTTTTCATTCTGAGGAAAAACAATCATGTCTTAAAGTAACTTTACATTTTTTTTTCATATATTGAAGCAATTTTGGAGGAAAAGTAACAAGCATGTATAGCACTCAGGCTACTTAGCTCAGAAAATAAGACTCAAAATTATAAATGAATGAAACGAGATTCTTTTTTTTGTTGTTATATAAAGAAAGCATGTTATTCTATTTGAATATTGTCTGGTTTTCTGGTTTCCTGAGGTTTGAAGCAGAATCATTTCTTTTATCCTGCATTACATCTTAGCTCTTGAACAAATAAGGTTATGTTAAACACTAAAGGTAAACACTTATTTGTTTTTTCATAATAAAGTTCCATAGGCTCAAAAATTCCCCTTTCCACTCTCCCCATACTCCTGTGCCCACTATTTTCTGCTGTATTATTACAATAGTGTAGTCCTTTAACAATACCTCATGAAGCATAATGGTGACTGGAATACTAAGAAGTGAAGATACATTGTAGTATGCATCTCTATGCCAGAATAAAAGATGGACTCAAAAGGAAACTGATAAATGTATCTTGAATTTAAGATACTGGATTTTCTATCATTGTCCATACCTACAATGTCATGATATACTTAAATAGAAGGATGATGGGCTTGTGTCTATTGTGAAAAGAGATTCTTTTAAAGACCTATCACATACTATTATATATTTTACAAATATCACATGACTTATTTATTTGAAAACCTGTGTGAGAGAGAAAGACAGACACACAGAGAGATATAACATCTACTGGTACACTCCTCAAATGGCTACAAACAGGATTCAAAATGGTGGAATAGGGTAAGGACATGTTTAAACAGACGGAGAAATATTAGCCAATGTGGAGCAGAGAGGGCACATTCCAAGGAAATAGGAGAGGGCAGAACAACAGCAGAAAAGTACCTGGAGACTGACAGACACAGGAAAGCAACAGACAAAATGCTGTTGTGTTGCAGTGACTGATACTCCAGCAACATTAAGTGAATGGTGGTCTGAACTCTATCAGCAGCCGGAACTCCACCAGCAACCAGGTGGGAAGGGACATTTAATGAGAACTCTGGAGGTAAACTCAAAGAATTGCCCGACCTGCTGGTCTGTTTGATATGACCAGGAGCAGAGACAGAGCTGCATATCTCAGATGGGCAGTGTGGGAACAGGGTGGAACTTAAACCCCAGTCTTGCCTGTAGAGGCAAATTGGGTGCCATTTTGCCTAAGGAGGCAAGGGCTAGCGGGTAGGAATGCCCATGACCCCAACTAGGAGTGAACTCATTTTTGACTCAGTGAACTGCAACAATGTGGCATCCTACAGGTTACACCCAAGACAGATCTGGGTGGCCCTCATACCTCATGGCCAGCAAATCAAGAACTCTAGTAGTGGCAGATCAGGTGCCATTTCGTATAGTGTGACAAAGGATTTAGGACTGCAAGGAACAACAGTGAGCTGCGCATGTGCTGAGCTCAGTGAGAACTTGCTTAGTTCCATGCACTGCGCTGGTACTGCAGAAAAATAAAACAGACTATGGCATTGAATGGGTCAAAATAAGTCTGTGTGGTCCTCAGACCTAACAGCCAACAGTTTCCAGCAAGACCACCACCACCAACAACATAACTATATAGAACACCTGGTGTTTTCCTAATCCTGGGACCTACTCCAACCAGAAGTGGGAGAGAGGTTGTACAGACAACAGTGCAGCCACAGTACAGTATCACAGGAGGTGGAGAGTGGTGAGCCAGGAGTTGGGACTATGGAGACCATGGTGGAAATCTAACATAAGAAACCAGACCTGAAACTCACTGGAGGGAGCGGCACAAGTGACTGCAAACAAAGAGCCGTGTACCAACTGCAATAAGTAAAATCAAATTACAGACCTGTGGGTGACACAGCTTAGAAACCTGCTCCAAGGAGAAGAATCTGATAAACAGAAATACAATGATCAAGAGCAAAACAAGAGACAGAGGCACAATGAATACTACTGAAGACTCCCCTGCAAAGGAGCAAAACCCTGTGCCAACCTCAGAGCTCACTGAGGAAGACATCAAGAAAATGGGGGACACAGAAATGAGAAATCTCATTATAAAGCTTCTGACCAACAACAAGAACCACATACAAGAGTTCAAAGAATTTAAGGAATACGTTACACAAGAAATAGCAGCAATAAAACAGATCAAGGCTGATATATCAGAAACTAAGAACACAGTAGAGAAAATTAAAAATGCAGTGGACAGTCTCCAAATTAGAATGAAGCAAGCAGAAGAAAGAATCTCAGAATTGGAACATATTTCCTATCACCAATCAAGACAAATAAAAAGCTGGAAGCAGAGCTGGATCAGGCTAAAAAAAGGATTCAAGAATTGAAAAACACTATTAAGAGGCCTAATACAAGAATTATGGGAGTCCCAGAAGGTGCAGAAAAAGAAACTGGTGTTACAGATATGTCTAATGAAACAATAAGGGAAAATTTCCCTAATCTAGAGGAAAGAATTGGGAAACAACATTCAGGAGGGGCACAGAACTCCCAACAGGCCTGACCAAAAGCAATCTTCACCATGACACATGATCATCAAGCTCTCTTCATCCCAACATAAGGAAAAGATCCTTAAATGTGCACGTGAAAAACATCAACTGACATATAAAGGAATGCCAATTAAACTCACAGGAGGCCTCTCCCAGGAAACTCT